GACCTGCCTCAGGTCACCGAGTTGGTGAGCGGCAGGCCATAAATTCAAGCCCAGGCCTGTCTGATTCCTGGCTGTGCTTTTCAGCTGCTCTGAGAGGCAGTCCCAAGGTTAGGTTGGCCCATTTCTGAGAACCTGGAGAGAAGGCGACTCCACCACATTCCCTGGAGATGTCCCAAGGCCTTCACCACTGGGAGATTCTGCCTGGTGGCCAACTTCAGGCCTTCCTGCTGCCCTAACATTTAATCAAAAATACTTCCATAATATTAGTTGAGTCATTATCTTCTCATAGGTTGATTTATGATTTGTTTATCACCAGTTGTGTTTCTTGTTTATGGCCTTTGTCCATTTTTCTGTTGGGCTTTCATCCCCTCCTTCCTCTTGGCACCTGGGTTGCTCAGGTTGCTGTGATCTTCCTCCTTGCCTGTCACGTGTTACGAAACCACTCTGTGGGTCGTTGCCTTTAACTCTGCCTGTGCTATGTTTTGCTTTAGGATTTTTCTTTTCTCCTGTAGTAGAATAGTCAATTTGTATTACATTACTGCTTCCTGGATTTCATTTGTTAAAAACAAAACTGCTTAGCATGGAATTTGTACTAGATTGTAGCAGCATTGGGGACTGCTAGTAGTATTTAGGACTGGATTTTTTATGCAAATTATTGGGAAAGCAATGATCTTTGCATGTACAAAATTAGATATAGGATTTTTTCCCCCTCTTTTCCTGGTAATGGATTGACATTTTTCCAGTTCACACAAAAAGAGATGGAACTTTTGATATTTAGTTCTATATGTGTTTCTTTTCATAGATCCCATCTCTTGTCCTGAAATTAAAATATTTCCTGTACATGTGCTTTGTACAGCCCTGTACCATATGCCATGGGAGATGCCAGGTACAAGCCATGGTCCTTATACTCATGGAATTTACAGTTAGAAGTTCTGAAAATATTTAAATGATAGTAAAAAAAAACTTGTGCGTGTGCTCAGTCACTCAGTCGTGTCCGACTCTTTGCAACCCAAGGATTGTAGCCTGCCAGGCTCCTCTGTCCATGGAGTTTTCCAGGCAAGAATACTGGAGTGGGTTGCTATTTCCTACTCCAGGGGCTCTTCCTGACTCAGAATTTGAACCCGCATCTCCTGTTTCTCCTGCATTGGCAGGTGGATTCTTTACCACTGTGCTACTTGGAAAGCCCCAAAAGAAATGTAGCCAGAAATACTTTTCTTTACTGCATTGTTTCTAAGTAAAATTAACAAAATGTGTGCACCCTTTAGCCTGCAGGTGTGGTGCTTATAATTAGACACCACATGAAAGTATTTTGTTTCCATTCTTTCTAATCTCAGATCCCCTCCAAACACCCCATTGTATTCACAAGTCACAAATGTCATGTAAAAATTCAGGTTCTTCACCACATGACATTTTATTTAAATGTGAACTTATATGAGTCATTGCATGTGAAATTCTCAGGAGAATGAGTACATTGACTCGCTGAAAGGTGAGAGATACTTGTCAGGCGGTTTGACTAAAGTATGCTCTATGTTCTAGGTTTATTTTTAGGAAATAGGGTACTCTGTTTTAGAGATCAGGTTTGTATTTAAAACCAAAATATGATTAGGCCTCTTGAAGCAATGGACAGACCATCGAAGACAGCAGAAATAGAATAAACTTTTTTTTTTTTAATTGTCATTACTTAGGACATTTGATTGATAATTTGGACGGAGAAGAAATCAAGTAGGGAAAGAAAATGACTAGTCTGACAGGTTTAATGTTTCTAGCAGCTGGTAGCTTGCACTCTCTACCAGTCCAAATTAGAGAACTGTGGAATTGTTGGGAGGAAAGGTGAAGAGGTATAGTAGTGGTGAGGAAAAGGAGAAGCTGCTTTCCTTGGGGAGTCTGCAGCCTGTGATTCTGAACTTGGACTGTCTATGGTGGGGAAGAATTAGGCAAATAACATCGTTGTTCAGTTCCTAAGTCATGTCTGACTCTTTTGCGATCCCATGGACGGTAGCCTGCCAGGATCCTCTGTCCATGGGATTTCCCAGGTAAGAATACTGGAGTGGGTTCTCCAGGGAAAATGACGTATGTGACTTAAAATTTGGTGACATTTACTAGGAATATAAGTATATTTTGCATTATGTCCATCTGAATGCAAACAAATGACAAAAGCAGAAGAATTTCCTTGATTCCCTGATGTCACCAGTGGTAAGATTTATCATTGATTTGCTTATGATTCTGCCTTAAATAGAGCCACTTGTCTTTACCTGTGTCATTGTGGCTTGGGGTGGCAGAAGTCTGGGGTCCTCCTTACAACTGGCAGTTGGGTGAGTTCGACTGGTGTAAAGGGCCAGAGAAGGGGGCAGATTCGTCTTCTGTTTTCTCAACTTAAAAAGGCGTTTTTGATGATTATGGGACACCATGGGCAACACAAGGTTTTCCTTTGAGTTTCATAAGTGCTTGATTATTCTCGCTTCCTCTCATTTCAGTATGAGTGATACCTTGTCTAGCATGTACAGGTTTCTTGTTGGGACAGATTGTGGTCAGAATTTCATTTCCTTATCTTTGAACATGTACTTTGGGGTTGGCTCAAAGGTGACAATAGTCTGTTGGTTCCAGCTTACCTGAAGCCTTGGTATCAGCTCATACAGTGGAAGGGGAGAGTTCGTGTACCTACATGTACATGATAGATCTCCCAAGATCCACTTCTGTAGATGCTGTAGAATGGTAGGGTTATCACATAGGCTGAGCAATACTAAAGGGCCCCAAGGTTATCTGGGAGGTGAGCTGCTGTTCATCACACGTACAGATGTAGTTTTTATAAGCACCAGAGGTCTGGTGGTGTGAATTCTTGGGCTCCATAAAGCTGATCTTAGAGATTTGGAGTAGAAGAAGAAGTAGGAGAGGGTCATGATCAGAGTTGTACTGATACTGAAGCCGTGCTTTACAGATGTAGGCAGACCTGTCCTTTCTCGGGGTGACAGGGCCACTCCTGCCCCATGGAAGAAGTGAACTGTCTGCTGTAGGCTTTGTTAAGGTGGAGTGTAAGAGTGCTTGTAGAGGACAAAACTGTACCCTCGGAAAGCAAGTGTGGGCTCCAGATATCCTCGTCACATTTGCTCTTGTAATCAGATCTTGTACTTTACCTCACTGGAAACTCCTGACAGATGGGCTGTGTGTTGAATATTCCAGGAGTGGGAGGGACTGTTGGGCAAGTACTGCCAGGCATAGCAGAGGGGAGGAAAGCTCTAATACGAGTGTTGTGGTTCCGCGTCTCCACCTGGGAGAATGGGGAACCAAGGGCAAGCACTGGTGAGGGAGGGCTCTCAGGCCACACTTCCTGTTCACTGCCCAGGTTCAGGTGCTTAGCCATGTTCACTGGGCCAGGACTGACCCTCAGCGCTCCTCGGGGCCCCTTGTTCAGCTTAGTCTAGTCCAAGAATGCAGCTCATCTGTGTGCATACTGAATACTTCTCTCTGGGTTGGTCATGGCGAATTCCAGCTCTCTCTCTTCCCTCGAGATTCAGGGGACTCCAAAATTCAAAGTTGTTGGAAGCTGAGGTCAGTGTGGGCTTCCCAGTCGGCTCAGTGGTAAAAAATCTGCCTGCCGATGCAGGAGACACAGGTTTGATCCCTGGGTCAGGAAGATCCTCTGGAGGAGGGCATAGAAAGCCACTCCAGTATTCTTGCCTGGGAAATCCCATGGACAGAGGAGCCTGATGGGCTACATGTGAGGTCAGTGAAGACGAATCAAGGGGTGCTCAAAGGGCCAGAAGCAGATCAGTTGTAGAATCTGAGGTCTGAGGGCTTAGGAGGATATGAGCTGTGATTCAGGACAAAAAGTGTTGAGTCGACTCTGGACAAATTTATGATGAGATAGATGTCCTTTTCTAAACCTGACTTTCATGGGCTACCTCAGTGGTAGGTGCTAGCAATTCAAAAGGGCCAGGATGGGCCACAGAGACAGCATTTTGGGGCCCTGGTGGGGATTTAGAAGATAGCCCACAATTTTTAATTCATCTGTGCTCTGCTTCCTACTGATTTTTGAAATACAGGGAGCTGGCTCTGGGAGCTACTTAGGTTTCTCAGTTTCACTGAGGTGTAAGTTGGTGAGAATAACTCAGGTGTTTTTTACATGTTTCTCCCTCATCTCCTTTTCCTATTTATTTTATTTTCCCAATTTCTTTTAGATGTGAGTTCTTCAGTCTTACATCAGAAGAGACCAAGTTTAAGTAATTTTTGGATTATGTTTTAGACACGTTTTATCCTATGAAAGTGAAAGTCGATCAGTCATGTTTGACTCTTTGTGACCCCATGGACTATACAGTCCATGGAATTCTCTAGGTCAGGATACTTGAGTGGGTAGCCTTTCCCTTCTCTCGGTGATCTTCCCAACCTAGGGATCGAACCCAGGTCTCCTGCATTGCAGGCAGTTTCTTTACCAGCTGAGCCACAAGGGAAGCCCTTATTCTATGACTTAACATTTAATGTTAATATTATTACCAGGGAATGAGTTGCAGAGTAGTTCTTAGTAGTTCTCCCAAAGCTGGCCTGTTAGTTCATCTTTTGTTTAGAGATGTTGGGGGGTCAACATGGGGGGTTGACCCATGTTGACCAAAAATGGGGGGTCAAATAGGGAAAGCATATGGCTGTTTAGTAAAGAGTATTAGAGTGATACCTCATTTTTAATTTGAGCTATATATCGGAGCACTGGATTGCTTTCTGAGAAATAAAAATTATGAACTTAACCTCTCCTTTCTTCATTCAGAAAATGCTACAAGATTGGGGTTCTCAGTAGAAAGGGGATTCTGAAGAACAGAACAGTGTCTCTTTTTTGTTTCTTTAATCAATTTTTATATTTAATATGTCTTACTTAAAAAGTGACATTGAAAGCTGCTACCATCACACGATAGCTTCCTCTTTGTAGAGGATTTTTTTTTTTTGTCACTAGGTTAAGTCAGTTGTCCAAAAGTTTGGAAAAAATTGTAATGTGTCATATTTTCTTTACTTTTCAGTGCAACAGAATGGAATTCGGCATTGCTCTTATACAACTTCCAGGAAGCATCTCTATGTTGATAAAAATACGAAGATTATTTGCCAGGGTTTCACTGGTAAGCAGGTATGTGTATTAAGATTTTTGTTTTTTTAAATGTATATTAGAGATACAGAAATACTGAAGTATTGTCCGTTTTTTTTTTTTTTTTTTTTAATATCACAAAAGTAATAATACATGTTTGTAGCAGAAAGGTGTACACTACAGCAGTGGGATTGTATCTCAGGAGGGGGTTAGGTGCTGTAGTCAGGTAAAAATTGTATTTGTTACCTCGAAAATCCCTCCCTAGGAGTATAGTATTTTGTTGGAAACCCACATGTTTTCTTTCAGCAAGTATAACACAACTGGTTTTTCTCCAACATTGAAACAGGTCACTGTTTCTTTTTTTCTTTTTTTTTTAAATTAAGCATTCAGTAAGGTAGATGGACATGAACTTGAGCAAACTCTGGGAGATAGTGGAGGACAGGGAAGCCAGGAGTCCTATAGTCCATGGGGTCACAAAGAGACATGACTTAGCGACCGAACAACAACAACAAGGTAGATGGCTTGTGTTTAGGCCTTGCTGTCTCCCTATCCTCTGCCTACATCATATAATTTGCGTAAGTTTAAATATATCTGTGATGTGATTCTACATTAAAGTGTGACCTAAGACTCTCCTTTCTCTCCTTTCTACCATTCTACTCCCCTGGAAATCTTTCTGATAACAAGTTAACATGTATCCTTCTAGATACTTTTCTTACTCATATAAAACACTTAGATAATAGGCATTCTACAAAGTTTATTTTATAGGATGTGCTCTCTTTCTCTGTGTATATGTGTATATATATATTTAAAACTTATTATACAGTATATAATATATATCATACATATAGCTGGTTTTAGAAAAGGCAGAGGAACCAGAGATCAAATTGCCAACATCCGCTGGATCATTGAAAAAGCAGGAGAGTTCCAGAAAAACATCTATTTCTGCTTTATTGACTATGCCAAAGCCTTTGGCTGTGTGGATCACAATAAACTGTGGAAAATTCTGAAAGAGATGTGAATACCAGACCACCTGACCTGCCTCTTGAGAAACCTGTATGCAGGTCAGGAAACAACAGTTAGAGCTGGACATGGAACAACAGACTGGTTCCCAATAGGAAAAGGAGTACGTCAAGGCTGTATATTGTCACCCTGTTTATTTAACTTATATGCAGAGCACATCATGAGAAATGCTGGGCTGGAAGAAGCACAAACTGGAATCAAGATTGCCGGGAGAAGTATCAATAACCTCAGATATACAGATGACACCACCCTTATGGCGAAAGTGAAGAGGAACTAAAAAGCCTCTTGATGAAAGTGAAAGAGGAGAGTGAAAAAGTTGGCTTAAAGCTCAACATTCAGAAAACTAAGATGATGGCATCTGGTCCCATCACTTCATGGGAAATAGATGGGCAAACAGTGGAAGCAGTGTCAGACTTTATTTTTTGGGCTCCAAAATCACTGCAGATGGTGACTGCAGCCATGAAATTAAAAGACGCTTACTCCTTGGAAGGAAAGTTATGACCAACCTAGATAGCATATTAAAAAGCAGAGACATTACTTTGCCAACAAAGGTCCGTCTGGTCAAGGCTATGGTTTTTCCAGTAGTCATGTATGGATGTGAGAGTTGGACTGTGAAGAAAGCTGAGCACCAAAAAATTGATGCTTTTGAACTGTGGTGTTGGAGAAGACTCTTGAGAATCCCTTGGACTACCAGGAGATCCACCCAGTCCATCCTAAAGGAGATCAGCCCTGGGTGTTCATTGGAAGGACTGATGCTGAAGCTGAAACTCCAATATTTTGGCCACCTCATGCAAAGAGTTGACTCATTGGAAAAGACCCTGATGCTGGGAGGGATTGGGGGCAGAAGGAGAAGGGGACAACAAGAGGAGGAGGTGGCTGGATGACATCACCGACTCGATGGGCATGAGTTTGAGTAAACTCCGGGAGTTGGTGATGGACAGGGAGGCCTGGCGTGCTGCGATTCATGGAGTCACAAAGAGTCCGACACGAATGAGTGACTGAACTGAACTGAACTGAATACATATATATCTGTTAAATAAATTCCTGAAAGTAAAATTGGGTGTCAGAGGTTCTGTGTATTTAAATTTTAGCAGCTGCTACCAAGTTGCCCTTTGAAACATTTGTACACATTTATAGTTCTGTAGTAGATATGCAGATTTTTTTTAAATACCAAGGAATGCTACCAAATCTATTAGAAAATAATCCCTAACCTTAACTCAAAGTGTTCCTTCCTCAGTTATTAAGGGAGACATGGCAGAATAAAAGTGATGAATGATTTTTGTGTAATTTAAAGTTAATGATTTTTCTGTGATTAAAAGAACTATAATACTCATTTTGTGATATTTTGGTGATCTAGCATTGGCAAGTTTATTCTGTAAAGACCAAATTGTAAACATTTTAGGCTTAGTAGGCCATGCAGTCTCTGTTACAACTACTCCATAGCATTGGAACAGCAAAAATAGCCACAGATAATACGTCAGTGAGTGGACATGGTTGTATGCCAGTGAAACTTAATTCACGAAACCAGTGGCTGGCCAGATCCCTCAGGCCATACTTTACCAACTCCTGATCTAGAGGAGGATATCCAAATATCCAAACTTCTATAACTTTTTTTTTTTAAGTATTTAGGAATTGCTTTAAACTTATTTCTTTTTTTTGAAAAATGAATTTTGATTCAAAGTTGTTTCATGTGAAGTGTTCTGCTTTTTGACTTTTTGAAATAACAGGGCACAGAAATGTGAATTGCAGTGGACTGTTCTTTTTCTCCCATTCTTCTACTATTTTAAAAAAATAGCCACTGCCAAGGAAAAAGGAAACAACCAAAACCTTGAAATTTTGTTCATAGATAAAATTGGTTTACTTATTCTGAGAGCCATATATTTTATGAATACCACTTCCACATACCTTTATACACATTCCTTTATACACATTCCTTTATAGAAAGTTGAGGCTTCATGCTCATGAAATACAGTTTACCATTCTTCTGCCAATTAAAATCATATTCAGTCCCTTTTGGGATATATATTAATTTTATTAGCATATAATTAAATGTTTGATTAACTCAAATTCCACACATAAATTTATTATATAGAATGTTGTTTGTCTATTTGCTAAGCTTTATACGACCCTATGACATTTTCCCTGGAGGAGGGCATGGCAGCCATCTCCAGTATTCTTGCCTGGAGAATCCCCATGGACGGAGGAGCCTAGTGGGCTGCAGTCCATGGTGTTGCAAGTTACAAAGAATCGAACACAGCTGAGTGACTAAACAGAGCACATGACATTTTAACGTCTCCCTTTTTTAAAGAACCATTGTCTGTACTGTAAGCACTATTTGTAACTGTCTCTTTTTCTTAAATTAGATGATGATTTGCCTAAATATTGAAATCCAAGGTTGGTTTCAGTGTCTTAGTTACTGGCAAATAGATTCTCATTCACTGTTTTTTAAAGTCATTGGGAGCCATAATTGTCTATTTGTTGGTTAAGTTTCTGCTTCTAGAGAATGATGAAGTCTGAAATTTAGAGTTTACCTCCATAGAAAATGTAAATTTTGTCTCATTAGTTCTTTTTTTTTCCACTGTGCACATTGTTGCACATATGAATGAGGAATATTTGTATTTCAGAGCAGATTCCAACAATGCCTTTTTCCCAAGGCATTGTTATGAGCCACTAAAACTATTCTTATTTTGACTGTACACTGGATGGTAATAATGAGAAAACTAACAGAAACAAGGACATTAATAGGAAATGTCATACTGTTCAGCACTACGGTAGGACTAAAAATGTGAGCATTTAAATTTATTTAGCAGTGTGGTAGTCTAGCCCAGTGCTTCTTTAACTGTCTGGAGTGAAGGACCATTTTGGGTGTGTGTTTTTATTTCCAGTCTATTGCAGAGCAGTACTTTTTACAAAATACAGTAAGTCATAGCAATATCCTATTGCTATAAAATTTGCGGACATTTTCACTTATTTTTTTTTTTAGATTTTTCTTGTTTTTTTCTTCTTTCTTCTTTTTTGTCATTTTTTCCTCCCTCTTTTTGCATTTACCTCACTGCACACCCAGAAGAGTCTACAGATAACATTTTGAATGGTACTGCTTTAACGAGAGCACTGGCCTGTGGTCCTTTACAAAACTCCATCATCGGCTTTTAGATAAGTCAGTTAATGTGCTTGGGATTAGGTTTCCTGTTTTGAAGAATGAAGACTTTGAAATCAGGAAATTTCTGAAGTCCCTCTGAAAGCCCCAATTTTTATGCCTTTAACAGAACTTGAGTAGTCGAGTCAGCATTTTTTGGTCCTCGTAGAATGACCGCGTAGATCCACTTGGTTTTCAACAACGACTTATTGAGTGCCTACTGTATGTAACTGCTTTGGGTGCCATCTCTCAGTGAACAAAGTAGATAGAAATCATTGCTTTAATGGAGTGGTGAGTAGAAGAGGGATGTAAGGACATCAGGGGTTGAGGAACAGTGAGAAGGAGGTGTTCTTTTCAGATCAGCACCAGGGAGTTTCTGATCACCAGCTAAATTTGAAAGCAGAGTGAAAAGAGACCTCCTGTAAAAAAAAACAAAACACAAAACAGTGATTTTGGCTCTGCAGAGACCTGTTTCACTTCAAGGTTGAAAGCTGTGTTCAGAAAGTTGATGAGGACGCTTGGAAATATGGCTGTTCCTACCAGGTGGCTCAGTGGTAAAGAATCCTCCCAGTGCAGGAGACGTAGGTTCAATCCCTGGATTGGGAAGGTCCCTGGAGAAGGGGATGATACCCCACTCCAGTATTCTTGCCTGGGAGATTCCATGGACAGAGGAGCCCGGTGTGCTGCAGTCCATGGGGTTGCAAAAGAGTTGGACATGACTTAGCGACTGAACAACAACGACAAACAACGGATACTTAACATATTTGTTTTTCTTTTCCAAGTTGCTGAAGATTGCCTTTAGGCTTCCCAGCCAGCCTTTTCTCACTACTCTTGTGCTTTTCCCTCTCAGGGCACCTTTCATAGCCAGCAGGCACTGGAATATGGCACCAAACTAGTTGGAGGAACCACTCCAGGGAAAGGAGGCAAGACGCACCTGGGCTTACCAGTCTTTAACACCGTGAAGGAGGTAATTAATGGTACCTGAGTTTGGCAAGAAGAAAAAACCAAGGGAAGAGTTAGCACACCTTGGCTCAAGATCTTAACTGTGCCCCTTTTGGAAGTGTCACTTGCCTTCTAAAATTCCAGTAACCTAGAGAAATTTGAAACATAAAAACGATCGGGTTCACTTTAGTCACTTTAGTCACTTTAGGATGTACTCTCCGCAGCCTGGGTCATTTTTGCTTATAGGCGTACATCAGTTCTTCAGGTAAGAAGTGCCGTGGCTTGGCTTCTATTTGGCTTATTTTTCTTTCCTTCCCATTTCTTCTGGGCTGTTAGAAGTGCACATGTCAGCATCCACACTTGACCCTAACACTCAGTGTTAGTGGGAGCTCTGCCAGGCACTGTGCCAGGTGCTTCGTCTTCATGGCATCATTCAAGCCTCACCACAAGTCCCAAGGTAGGGGCTGTTAGCATCCCTATTTTAAAGACAAGGATACGACAGGTACAGAGGGTGAGGGTCCTGTACATATCCTCACAGCTGATCAGTGGCAGACTTAGCCTGGCTCAGAGTAAGTAAGTAGTGGGTGGTGTTCCTGTGTGGAATAGAGTCCAACAGGCAACTCACAGAGTCCTGATCTCTTCCTCAGCTTGCTGATTTCTCAATACTTTTAGAATTACTTTAAGCTAAACTTTCTTTGTTATAAGGCTTACGTGCTTATGGTACAAAGTCAGATGATATGAAGGGATGTAAAGTTAAGTTTTATGTGGTGTTTTCCACTTTTTGGATTTTGCCTTCATAGAGAGCTTATTTCAGCTCAGTGTATACTGTTCATTCTCTTTCTACGCTTACGTGAATATGTAAAAAAATAATAGTATTATGAAAGAAGTCGTAGTACATGTTCTTGGCTATTTAATTTTTAAAAAATCAAAGAAATAAACTTAGTACTTGGGATTGATGTATTGAGGTTAAAAAATAAAAATGTAGCACTCCCCCTCTTCTTAAATATACTTTTAAGGCATGTTTTAAAGAATTTCATTTTTTTTTAAAGTACAAATTTATAGATTTACTCTGTTTTTGGAATACTAACTTCAAATTGAGGTAATTTGAATTCTTAATGTAAATTAAGATAAAGGATAAAACAAATATTCAAATTTGGAGTTTTCATTTTACTTTAAACTTGAAAATAGGGTATACTGTATATATGTGTATGTGTGTTTTGAGTGTATCATACTTTAGAGAGTAAAAATTTCATAAATTCTGTAGAATAATCATTTAAAGTTTTGCTTTGCATTTTTTAAAACTTCCTAGTTAAATTTGACTTTTGCCATGAGCCTTTTTTTTGCTTTCCTTTTAAAAAAAAGTTTTTGTTCCTAGCAGTTCATTATTATTCATTTTGATACAAATAGATACGGCTTTTGGAAGATAATGTCAGTTCTTTGACAGATGCTGTTTATTTCTCCCCTGTTCTGCTCTTACAAAGAGATTTCTGAGTGAGTGGAATGGTTTCCTTTCATGTAGTATTACTTGCCGACACAGACCCTGTGGTCATAGTCCAGCTTCTGAAAGTCTTTGTATCCTTAAGAGGTAGGAACCCGTGGGATATATTTTCCATAAAATACCTGCACATCTATGATCTCATTTCTGTTCGTTCCAACCTAGTTTTTTTCTTTGGTGCCCACTTCCCTATTATCACTTTGAACATCATTTTTAAAAACATTGATTTCAATTATTTTTAACCCTTGGCAAGTCAACATTCTTTGACTTGTTCATCTGTGACTGTCAAGATACCTCTCTTTATTAGGGATGCAGTAGAGAAAGCTCCTCGACCTCTGGGAACATGGGCAGTCAGTTTGGAATGATTCTCAAAGACATCGTCTTTTACTTCTGCCCCTTCTAGCTGTACCTGCATGTTCTGTAGCTTGGTATTTGTATCCATTTAAAATCTCATCGCTCAGCCTTCTAAAATGTTTTGATTTATATCTTAATTAAGCTTCATTTTGACATTTATAGGGAGGTAGCCTGCTGTAGCTGAAAAGAACTGACGCTGTGGAATCAGATATCCTTAGGTTTGAATCTTGGCTCTGCCACTTCTTAGCTCTGTGACCTCATGCGAGTTATTTAATATTTCTTGGCCTCTACATCTTGATTTGTAGATAGGATGGTAAGCAGGCAGGGTTGCATAGTCTTTCTCAGGACCTCTCACAGAATAGGTGCTGCCTCTCTTGGAGAGTCAGAGACACTGACTATCTCTGTCTTCAAGGAGCTTCCGTTATAGGAGAAGAGTCATGGCCACATGTGGAAGTAGGTGGAAGGCTACATCTGTATTGATACATGTACAAAATGTATAGAAGATCACAGAGAGAACAGTGGCCACAGTGGTGGTCTTTAGGTGCCTGGCATTGTGAGGGGTGATGTAGCGTAGACTCTTAACCTTATATGACCGATGCTTGTTCTGTGGCTGTTTACGCATGTGTATTTTAGCTTATTTCTAGTTAGCATGTATTAGAGTAAAAATTGGCAGCTAGGAATAAAACCACTTCATTTTGCTTCCTCTTGATAATATTTATTCTTCGATCTATTTTTATTTTTTTAATTAAAAAATTTTTATCTATTTTGTCTGCATTGGGCCTTAGTTGCAGCCTGCAGACTCTGTGGTTTTGGTGTGTGGGCTCAGAGGTTGCAGCACATGGGCTTAGTTCTAGCCCCGTGGCATGTGGGATCTTAGTTCTCTGACCAGAGATCGGACCCGAGTCCCCTGCACTGGAAGGCAGATTCTTAACTACTGGGCCATCATTGAAGTTCCATGGTTTGATAATATTTTTAAAAACATGTTTGAGAGCTGAGTTCTGAAGTTTGGGGCTCACTAGTCCTTTTCTCCTGAGGAGATGCAGGGCCTTTTGTGCTGAATGGGTGATAAGTGCCTTGCTGAAGAACAGAAATAAACGTGGCCCAGGAATGAGGGGACCTAAACGCCAGTCAGTGCTTTCGTGTGTGCTGACATGCTGTCACATCGCCTGAAGGAAGGGGAGGTCACAGAACCTTCCAGTTTCGAGGGGGGTCCCAGTGGGGCCGAGAGGAGGCCACACTTAACTCTGCTGTTTTCTGACAGTTAATGGGAAGAATGAAGACATCCCAGTGTCTCCTGGTGATGTCTTTTCCTGATCCCATGATATCATTAAAGCCATGGTATTGAGTTTGTTTTACAAAGTGTCTGACTGAACCTATAGTAAAGTGCTTTGTATTAATGTTTCAGGCCAAAGAACAGACTGGGGCGACAGCGTCTGTCATTTATGTCCCGCCTCCCTTTGCTGCTGCTGCCATTGATGAAGCTATCGAGGCGGAAGTGCCCCTGGTCGTGTGCATCACCGAAGGTATCCCGCAGCAGGACATGGTGCGGGTCAAGCACAAACTGCTGCGCCAGGGAAAGACCAGGCTGGTCGGGCCAAACTGCCCCGGAGTCATCAATGTGAGTGCACAAAACGAAATGAGCCCAATTTCAGCCTCTGAAGGCTAACTAACTTTGAGTCAGTCCAAGTATATTTGTATGTATGATCTCGGAGTTAAAATTTTTTTTTCACTTTTCTGATACTGTGAATTACTTTCCTTTAGCCTGGAGAGTGTAAAATTGGCATCATGCCTGGCCATATTCACAAGAAAGGAAGAGTCGGTGAGTATGTATTTCTTATAGATTATAAAACAAAATTTCTTGCCCCATGCTCAAAATTCATAAAGAGATTTGATGGTACAAATCAAATTCATTTTAATTCTTTCAACTTTAAGAGAGTTTACCTTGAAAGTTTTATCGTGAATTGGTTCTGTGTCCTGAATTATTGTTTGAGGAACACTAATTCTACAGAATCAAGATATTTTTGAGTTTTTTTAAAAGATTCTTTTCCTGCTCAAGCACACTGGATTCTTCCATGTATTTGCATGTATCTATAATTTTATCACTTAGTAATATTTTATTGAGTGATTATATCACAATTTGCCCGTTCTCCCATTGATGAACATTTCTGTTATTTCCATGTTTGAGTCATTATGAATAAGGTTAAAGTAAGCTTTTGTGTACAGGCCTTTTTGTGGGTATGTTTTCCTTTCTTGTGGGTAAAATGCTTGAAGTAGAATTGCTAAGTCATAAGGTCAAAGTATGTTCAACTTTTTAAGAAGTTACCAAATAGATCTGCAAAGACACTGTGTTCTAAACTCCCACCATCAATGTCTGAATGTTCCAGGCATTCTGTACTTAGGCTTTATGGGCCTGTACTGAGTTGCCTTTCTGATCACTACCCTGCTTTCTGAGGGGCCCATAAACCTCAAAAACAACAAAGAGAAGTTTAGGAAAGTTCTTTAGACCTTGGTTCTTGAGATGGCCATAACACATTGATGAGGAAGTCCTCTGGGAGGACTGCCTTTAATTTAAAGGACTTTAAAAAAAATTCACCTGAAAGGAATACATGACACTACAAGATTATCAAGGAGGTGGTGGAGAAAAGATGACCTTTTTTGTACTAATTATTCCTATTTTGATACCAGTACTAATATTCTCAGAAGCCTCATTAACTTCCAGTCCTTAAATTAAGTGTTTAGGGAAAGGAAGGAATTTTCAGTCTCTTGGGTATTTCTGAAGGGGACCTCATGTAATATAATAGCAGTGCAACAGTATAGTGGCTTTCTAATTTGTGTTAATGATAACTAAAATTGTATAACATCTAATTGAGTGTAATTGAAGAAAGTGATTAGATTCCAAATTGATATTTAGTGATGCAGTATTTTTGCATTTATGTTAGACTTTTTACTCTCAACCTCATGTTACATACTTGACTCCTACATCTTTAAAAAATTTTTATTTTAATTAGACTTTTTATATTTAGATAATATGTAAATCATGTAATGTAATATAAAACATGTAATCATAATATGGACAGATCTCTGTGTACCCTTTATTCACTATCCCCCAATGATAACATCTTGCAAAACTATAATGCCATGTCACAACTAGTATATTGACTTTATGACAGACATAAAGAATTTTTCCATCCCTACAGGAATCGCTCATCTTAACATTTTATAGCTACATCCACTTCCTTCCTACTGCTACTCCCTTCTTAATCCTTGGAATCTAATAATCCTCTTATTTTTTTTCCTAAATTTTTTAAATTTCAGGAATGCTATATAAATGAGAACATATAGTATGTAGCCTTTGGAGATTGGCTATTTACACTCGGTATAATTCTCTGGAGATTCATTCAGATTATTGTATCAGTAGTTCATTCCTTTTTATGACTGAGTAGTTTTCTAGAGTACAAATGTTTGTTGAACCAATCACATGTTGAAAGATACTGGAATTATTTCCAGTTTGGGGCTATTAAAAGTAAGTCTGTTGTATACATTTGTGTACTAGTTTTTATATAACACAAAAAATCTTCATTTCTTTGGGATGAATACTCAGGAGTGCAGTGCTGGGTTGGATAATAGTTGTGTGTTATTTAAGAAACTGCCAAATTATTACCCACTATGGCTATACTGTTTTACCTTTCCATCACCAGTGTACCTGTGATCCACTTTTTCTGCATCCGTGCCAGCATTTGTAGTCACTGTTTTTATATTAGCCATTCTGATAAGTGTTCGGTGATACCTCATGGTGGTTTTAATGTACATTCCCCTAATGGCTAATGATCTTGAACATCTTTTCGGGTACTTGTTTGTCATCTGTATATCTTCTTCCGTGGTGGCTTAGACGGTAAAGTGTCTGCCTACAATGCAGGAGACCCAGGTTCAATCCCTGGGTAGGGAAGATCTCCTGGAGAAGGAAATGGCAACCCACTCCAGTATTCTTGCCTGGAAAATCCTATGGATAGAGGAACCTGGTAGGCTACAGTCCATGGGGTCGTAAAGAGTCGGGCAAGACTGAGTGACTTCACTGTGTCTTCTTCAGTGAAATGTTTCTTTGTGTTTTTTTGCCCCTGGTCTAATTGATTACTGTGGAGTTTTGAGAGTTCTTTCTACATTCTAGATACTAGTACTTTGTTGGATATGTGGCTTGCAAATATTTTCTCCCAATCTGTAGCTTGTGTTTTCATGCTTTTAACAGGATCTTTCAGAGAGCAAAAGTTTTTTCATTTTGATGAAATCTTACTTACTGACTTTTTCTTTTGTGAAATATGCTTTTGACTTCCAAGTCTAATAACTCTTTGCTTTGCCTTAAGTACCTATTTTTTCCTGAAAGTTTTATAGTTTTATCTATTTTTATTTGCTTGCCTGTGCTGCACAGCAGCTTGTGGGGTTTTATTAATAGTTCCCTGACTAGGGATTGAACCCAGGCCCTCAGCATTGAGATTGCAGAGTCCTAACTACTGGACTGCCAGTGAATTCCTGAAAGTTCTGTAGTTTTACACTTAAATCCCATAGTGTCCAATTCAAGTAATTTTTCTAGGTGTGAGATTTAGATCAAAATTCTTTGTCTATTTGTGTTTAGTTGCTTCAGCACCATTTATTAAAAAGATCATCTTTCTTTCATTGAATTGCTTTTGTATTTTTGTCAGTAAGCTTCTTATTTGTGTTGATCTAATCCTGGGTTTCATCAATACTGTACAAATTTAATACTATGTTGAAATAATAACTCTTAAAATTGGATAGATTGCTTCTTTGTACTTTTTAAAAAAATATTTTAACTTTTCTAGTTTACTTTTTCATATAATTTCAAGGTAATCTTGTCTCAATCTACAGAAATTATTGCTGGGATTTTTATGTAATTGTGTTAAATCTGTATGTCAGTCTCAGGTGAATAGACATGTTTACTTTGTTTAATATTCCAGTCCATGAATGCAGTATATCTTCATTTACTTAGATTGCCTTTGATTTCCTTCATGAGCATTCTGTAATTTTTAACATGAAAGTCCACTGTGTGTTTTGTTAGATTTACACTATTTCTTTTTATTAAAAAAACCATTGTAAATTTTATTGTATTTTAATTCTGGTGTCCATGTGCCTGTGGCTAATGTCCAGAAATACAACTAATTTTTGTTTATCTTGCCATATTGTTGTAGACCTTAGGGGTTTCTTGGTAGATTCCTTAGCATTTTCTATGTTAGACAACCCACATTATCTACAAATAGGGATAGTTTTATTTCTTCCTTTTAGGACACTCAAGAGTAAGTCTTTTCAACTATCCATGTTTTGCTTGTTACCGTGTTCTTTGTTCTTGAGGCTCCAGGGTTCCTTCTTTTATCACTTCTCTTCTTTCCAGAGACCTTATTAATATATTAGCCATTCTTTTATGATGGAACTGTTGGCAACAAATTCTTTACTTTCCCCTTTTGAAAATGTTTTTATTCCCCCGTCATTCATAAAGACTAACATCACTGGGTACAGGATTTAGGGTTGACAGTTCTTTTAGTAGTTAAAAAATGTTGACCCATTTCTTGATCCCATAGGTTCTGTTGAGAAAACTGATATCATTTGAGTTGTTTTTTCATGTAGAGGAAGGTGTTATTTTTCTCTTGCTGCTTTCAAGAGTTTTTTTTTTTGAGGGGGGAGTCATATTTTGATTTTCTGAAGTATATTAGAAGTTTTGGTGTGAATTTCATTGGATTTATCCTGTTTTTAGTTTGCTCACCTTCTCACATGTAGATTTAAGTTTCATAAAATTTTGAATTTGGTAAAACATTATTTCTTCAAGCACTGTTTCAGCCCCATGTTCTTTTTTCTCGCCTTCCAGGACTGTCATACAGGAATATTCAATCTTTTATTATAGTTCCATAGGTCCCTGAGGTTCTGGTCATTGTTTTTTCCTAGTCTGTTCTTTCTGCCATTCAGGTGGGATAATTTCCATTGTTTTATCTTTAATTTCACTGATTTTTTTCCTCTCTGCTCTCCATTATTCTGTTTAACTCATCCACTGAGCTTTTAGCTTTGGTTATAGTATTTTTCAGTTCTAAAATTTCCATTTGGTCCCTATGTATCTTCTTTTTCTTTCTTTTTTTTTTTTTGAATTGAGGCTTCCTTCATATTTCTTTGATAAAGCTTCAATTTTTTTATTTCAAGCATGTTCATAATTATTGAAAGTGTTTTTATCATGACTTCATCAAATTTCTTGTCAGATAATTCTGACATCCTTACATCTTGGGATTAGCATCTATTGATTTTTTTTTTTTAAATTCAGTTTGAGATCTTCCTGATTTTTGGTAGGTCAGATGATCTTTGGTTGAAACCTGAAAGTGTGGGCTACTATGCTATGAGGTCTGGGTTTTATGTGAACCTTCTGTTTTAGCTGACTTAATTCACACTGCTTCAGCAGGGAATGTGGGGGAGGTACCTTGTTCCTGCCAGGTGGAGGCAGAAGTTCAAGTTCTCTTCTTGCTTCTATTGCCAGAGTGAGTGGGCTCCTGCTCACTGGGGAGAACAGTTCCAGCTCCTTACTTGGTCTCCCCTGACACTAGTGAGGATGCAGTTGTTATTGCTGGGCAGTAGTAAAAGCCCTGATTCTCCACTAGGCCTTTTCTGATCCCAGGAAAAGGAAAGAGGCCTCACTGCTGCCAGATGAGGATGGACATCCAGGCTTTTCACCTGGTTTTCACCTGACACTGTGGGAGTGGGGCGGGACTCAGTACCAGCTTGTGTAGATGAAAGTCCTGGTTGTGTACATGCTGGTGGGCGTGCTGCCAGGGTGCCTTATTACAGCCTTGTAAATGTAAAGTCTAGGTTTCTTTTTTTGGCCTTTGCTATGGAGAAGAAAGTGGCAACTCACTCCAGTACCCTTGCCTGGAAAATTCCATGAACAGAGGGGCCTGATAGGCCCCTGGTAGGTCCATGGGGTCGCAAAAAGTCAGACACAACTGAGCAACTTCACTATGTGAGTACAGGTGGAGCCAGTTTCTTTGTAGTGCATAGTTGGTATGGAGTGGTTATTGTCTGAAAGTTTTCTGTTTTGCTAGGCTGTCCTTGGTTCTTTCGCTGAAGAGAGCTGCTGTTTGGGTGGGGAGTTCTGTGCCTTTGTGTGTTTCTAGGATGCAAGCTTCTTTATCTTTGTATCTGGAACACATGAGGCAAAAGGCAACTTGGAAACACTTCATTGTTTTACTGGAGTCTCAAGGTCTCTAGGACTCTATCTTCTATCTAACTTTCAGCGATTTCTTGTATTTGTTTTATATGTAGTGTTCAGAATTTTTATTTGTATTTAGCAGCAAGAATACAGGAAAATACCTCTGCTTTTTGGAAGCAGAAGTATCCCTATGGTAGATATTTTTAAGTGATAGTCTCTCTTACTATATATATACTTCAAGGATGGCAGGAGTAATCTACCCTAAAAACATTGCTTTCATTACCTTAAATGCGTGTACTTTGCATTTATATAAATTATATATCACTTTCATTTTAGATGAAATTCCCTTAAAAGAATGATAAAATCCTAGTACTGCTATTCACTGATTATTATACTGATCATCAAAAAAGAAGGCTGGAATAAATAAAATAGTTGTGCTTCCCAGTAATCTAGGGTGTTACAAGAACAGGAACATAATTCTGTCTTAAGAATCAAGTAGGAATGTAAAGGAGACTAGGTAATTACATACAAAGAAATACAACTAAGTTACTTATTGTCTTTGATTTAAAAGCTAAATGCACCAAATATACATAGGTGTTACCTACTTATCTACCCTTCTCATTTATGAAAGGTCTTATAAAGGAAAGACTATGTTGAGGAGAGAGGTTATAGACAGGAAGCTCCTGAGAGTGGGGAAAAACTAATGAGTGAGACACATGGGGTATGGTGTTATTGGTTGTCGTTTGTTGTGAGATAGGGTCCAACCAGTGATTGGTCTTATAACTATCACCAGTTAGATTTTGTTTAAGAGGGTGATTGTACTCCATCAATTTTCAGTTTTGACCCATTTGGTACATATTTACTGAATTCCTTTTGTGCCTGAACTGTGCTCTATATGGGGAACGCAGGGGTGGGGAAAACAGTCTCGTTTACTAACCCCTGGAAGTTACAGGTCCAACAGAAAAGATAATCACTGCAGAATCTCCAGTAACATTGGTGGTCTCTGCTGATCAATGTAGGAAAGCAGGGTTCTGACTTGAGGAATCTGTGTGGTCAGGAGACAGGAAGCCTAACTGTGAATGTATTTTCTGAAACTGGGGTTATTAACCAAAGGTTAATACTTGAAATTTATGCTTTCTTTTTTTCCATATGGACCTTTATATAGATTTATTGTTCCATTTTACTTTGCACTAGAAGGTCATTTTTTGTGGAAGACTTCAGATATCTCTTAACTGCTTTTGTAGTCATAAAACAACCCTAACTAGCTGAATTGCGTGCGTACAGATGGCATCACTTGAAACTTGAGAAGCCACACAAGGGTCTTTCTTGGAGGCCCGGTGAAGGACAACCGCCAGGAACAAACTAAGAGGGCAGAAGTCCAGGAATGTATTCCACGTAGCCAGCCAAAAAAACTTTAGGGTTAAAAATAAAGCGAAACCAGTTCCCACTAATCTTAAGAAGATAAATATTGTGAATGATTAAAAAGTTAAGAGTGAATCAAACTCTTGTAGATATACAGAAGGAACTTGCAAACTTCCCAAAAAGCCTTTCCATTGAATCTCGGAAGAAACAGTTGATTTCTCAGCAGTGTCATGAAAATGTACCACAGTTAATGTTGATGAGGCTACAAAACTAGTGGCTCAGTTGTAATACACTGGTGATGCATCAAAAAAACCAATAAATGTTTTATATATAAAAAAAAAACCCTAACTAATAAAATCCTTTCTTTTTCTAACTTTTAAAACCTCCCTGCTATAATTTAGGCCTTTTCTCCTTATTCCATGACCTGATGGTGTTGTTTGTTTGGAGGACAAATTATGGGATGGGTTCTTTATATACGTGTGTTTATGATTTATTTTACTATGTGAGAGTCACATGAGCACTCTCTAATATTTCTGAGTTCTCCTTCTTTAAGGTATCGTGTCTAGATCCGGCACCCTGACTTACGAAGCGGTTCACCAGACAACACAAGTTGGATTGGGGCAGTCTTTGTGTGTTGGTGAGGACTTTTTCTAAACTCATTTTATCAGAGTTCAGTGTCTTCACTGAATAGGTGTAATAATAATTATTGGTTTGACTATTTGTGAGAGATTTTGATGTCATCTTATGAAAAAGATGTTATAATCTTGAGTTTAATTTGCTTATACATGAAGCTGGCTGTTACATTTTCAAGATTCACAGTCCAGGATTTAACTCCCACGTTTCAGAACAAACGTCCTGGGGTGTATGGCTCCTGGAGAGCCTTCGTCCCTGAAAACAGGACTCACTTTGGTTGCTGTGAAGCAGTGGTCCTTCAAGACAGGACTTTGGTCAGTGTAATTGGCACTGTGTTATCATTGCCAGCTGTCACTCAGCGCTTCACAGGCACCGACTTCTCTGCCAATCATCGTCTCACTCTGCAGAGGCAGCCCTGTGAGGCCCTGCTGAGCTGGCACAGAGTCCTGTGGTCACTTGATTGGTAGATGGAGGAGGGTGAGCTCTTTGCCCCATCATACTGCCTCCCGTTTACAAAAGAGTTTTTACATTTTAAAATAATTTTGAAAAAAATAAAATAATTTTGATATTTTTTGCCAAAAGCCAGGCAAATATGTCACTTTTATAGCAGTTCCTTCATGTTTTTAGACCATCTTTTAAAAGCTTTCCAAAGGCAGCTTTTGATGATAAAAAAAACTTTTGAAATATAACCCTGGAGTGTTTTTATTGACTCAAATTGATAAAATCAGTATTAAACATTAAACAAGCTTTTCTATGTGCAAAAGCACAATCTTCAAGACAAGATAACTTAACATGATAGAAAATAAAAGGTTTTGCAATAGTGTGGCAAGTTCCATCTTCTCTAGCTCTGTTTTTAATCTAAATTGAGAGTAGTAATTCCTCTCTCACAGAGTATGATGATTAGGAAATGGCAGGTCTGATGTGTGCTAAGGCACAGACCTGACTCGTGGTTTGAACTCAGTTGATGCTGCTCCCCTTCCTCAGCTTCATTCTTGAGCCATGCCTTCAAGAGTAGGAAGCCAATCCTGCCTTCAATAAGTTTATAACTTAAAAATTTAGAAAGTGGCCCCCAGTGGAGGGAATCTTGACTTGAATCCCATCTACGTACTTGTGCTAAAAAGCCATGTGTTTGTGGTAGAGCCCCTGTGTGTGGTCTCTGTCATCTCCCACTCCAGGTTGGAGGGAAGAGGGATCAGGACACCTACCCCACCCACTGCAGGGACATGTGTCTTAACTTGTGAGTGGTTCCTCTGCAGTGTCCCTCATCAGACAGTTACTTAGTGCAAAGAAATTTATTTATTTTTTCTTTTTTTACTGTAGAAGAATTACAAATATCCAGTATTTCTAACATGGCATTAAGTCTCCAGTATGGTAATAAGGTTTGCCATTCATGTGAGCAATAACAAATCACAACAAACTACCACAGTGAGGGTAATAACATACAGACACCCACACCCACACACCAGGTGAGGGTAATAGCATACAGACACACACACACACCCCAGGTGAGGGGTAATAACATACAGACACCCACTCCCACACACCAGATGAGGGTAATAGCATATAGACACACACACACACACACCCCAGGTGAGGGTAATAGCATACAGACATACATACACACCCCCCCAGATGAGCTAATCAAGATACTATTATACTTCATTAACCTTTTGTGCTAGGAGATGATAAAGGAAACTTTTTTATTATAATATTAAGTAGTATAATTATTTTTATTATAATATTAAGTAGTATAATTATTTTTAATTTCAGAATTAATTGCCTATTATATGCAAAGTACTGATACTGAGCTACTCACCAGAAGTCAGTGATTAAAAGTTATAACTTACTAAAGAGTAACTGTATTCCTGAAAAAGCTAATGTGTTTTTAAAAGTAACATTCTTCTAATTAGGGAAACTATATAGAATGCTTATTATTAAAGAGCTCTGTAGGAGTAATTTTGGGAGGGGGAAGAGTATTGATAAGGAGACAAAGAAAAAGATGGCTCTTTTTGTGACTAGCAAGACCCAACCACCATTTAACATTCATGTAGTATTATAAGCAGAAATAAGTTTAGCATTTTATGATTTTTTAAATGTTAAATGCAAGAGTGATAACACATTTAAAAATATTTGTAAGAAGGGCGTAGGCAAAGTAAGAAACCTGTTGAAACAATATTTCCTGACTTAATTTTCAGAGGGTGTTGATATTCTTTGACTTTTCCAGGCATTGGAGGCGATCCTTTCAATGGAACAGACTTTACAGACTGCCTTGAAATCTTTCTCAATGATCCAGCCACAGAAGGCATCATATTGATTGGTGAAATTGGTGGTAATGCTGAAGAAAATGCTGCAGAATTTTTGAAGCAACATAATTCAGTAAGTTTGGCTGTGGAAAGATACAGCTCTTTGCTCTTGAATAATATCACAGGTTTGCTTTAGAAGTTGTTTTTGTTTAAAGATGAATTTTTTAAGCAAACATGAAAGGTAAAATTAAATCTTACTGAGCTGAGCCTGGAACACTGGCCACTCAGGAAATGTGGGACTCTTTCTGGGTTGATTCTCCTCCCCATTTCCCTTGGTGCCTGTTCTTGGCTTCTCTAATGAATCCTCCCTCCAGGCATCTCCTTTTACTTCCTGGTAGGTCGTCTGCTAAATGGAGAACTTTCAGGCCATCAGCCTGAAAGCTGTCACTTGACCTGCACATTTCCATTTTCACCTGTCATTGATGTCCTTTCTCCTGACCTCAGGGGATGTGTGTTCTTTCTCTTTGTCAAGGCTGGCTGTCTAGTGATCCTGTCCTTTATACCCTTTTCCAGGATCTTGTCTCCCTCTAGCTTCAGTCTTTCCTCATAGAGTAGCACTTTGCTTCAAAGGTCAAGTGGAAAAGCTTTATTGACTGTCCTGTGAAGGCTTTCCTGTTGCCTCTCCCTTTGAATTAAATAAAAAAGAATAGTGTGGTGTTGTATCATAGTTTGATTTAACTCAGGGGAATTTAGCTCTGTTTCTGGGGTGAAGGAGGGTGGTAGGAAGAGAGCGGGGGGCATGGTAAAGACAGAAGCAGCTTGGTGCCCGACAGTCCCCTCCCTGCATCATTGAGCATGTGTGCTCTGAATTACTGTGGCCAGGGCCTGGGGAGAGCATGCAGATGGTTTCCAGGGTGTCCCTGATACTGACAAATGAGTGAAGAGTGAAGGTGAATCTTCAGGGGGCCGAGCAAGAGGGCAGAGAGAACTTGTGTCTGTGCTTGTGAAAGAAATTGAGAGTAAGTGTGTCAAAATGAAATGCCACAGAAAAATAATGAGTACCGGAGAGTTAAAGGAAAAGATGCTATCACCTGCAGAATAGCCTGTGCAAAACGATGCATGTATATGTATTGCTGTTGTTTAGTCGCTCAGTAGTGTCTGACTCTTTGCAACCCCATGGACTGTAGCCCCCCCCCCACCAGGCTCCTTTGTCTATGGAGTTTTCCAGGCAAGAGTACTGGAGCAGGTTGCCATTTCCTTCTCCATATTTATATGTAACTGAAGGAATTTTCAAAGGCTCTTTTGAATATACATGTTTTTCTTCAGTGGTAATTTTAAGAGTTCCTCTTATTCTGGTGAACTTTCCTGGTGGTTCAGATGGAAAAGAATCTGCCTGTAGTGCAGGAGACCCGGGTTCAATCCCTGGGTCAGGAAGATCCCCCAGAGAAGGGAATGGCTACCCACTCCAGTATTCCTGCCTGGAGAATTGCATGGGCAGAGAGGCCTAGCGGGCTACAGTCCATGGGGTTGCAAAGAGCCAGGCATGACAGAGCGACTAATGCTTGTCCTTTACTCTCTGGATCTCTTTCTTTATTTTTTATTCACTCCCTAATCCTCTGCGGTTAGATTTTGTCTGCCGCTTAGAAGCTGTGTGACCTTGGGCATGTTCCTTAACTTCACTGTGCCTCAGTTTCCTCGTTGGCCAAATAGGGGTACAGTAGAGCTTCCCTCGGTGCCCTTGTAGGGCTGTGGAGATACATGGCGCAGAGCTGCCCCGGGCATGTGGTAAGCACTTTTGGCGGGCTGCTGTGGGGTCTGCTGTCCATGCTGGCACTGCTTTGGCTGAAGTCAGCAGCAGCCTCCATTCATCCTCCTGGCCCTTCTCGTCTTTATCCTTTCCCAGATTTACCCTTTGTGCTTATTCCCTAAGTGTAACTGTTCATGGTGTATAAACAACGTTGTACTTCTCTCTCAGCTCTTGCTTCCCCTCAGTTACCCGAGATCTTAGTAGTTTGTGTAGATTCAAAGTATCATCATCTGTAATTAGTCCCTCTGCTCCGATTCAGTCTCTTCTCTTATCTCACCTGGACCATCTGAGTAATTTTTTTCCTGATGTCTCTGCTCCTTTCCCTCCCGCCTTGCCTACCTGCTGTTTGCCATCCATGTGGGTTAAAGGGCAGACAGCATGGCTTTCCAGCTGCCTACATACTACCCTGACGCTCCTTTTCAGATCCATGTCCCATCTCATGTGCTGCTTGTTTTCATCCTTGCTTGCCTTCGCTTGTTCCTTCTGCAAGGCATGCCGAACACCTGACTCTTGCTCTTGTGGACAGCAAGCAACTGCTATAGCCTTGCTGCCCAGCTCAGCCTCCGGCATATTAGGAGGCAGTAAATGGTGAATAAGTGAAAGAGTATGTAAATTGGTAGGAGACTAGAGTAAAATGTTATGAGTCTCTCAAATTTACAAAGGTTGTGAAGTTTAAAATTTAAAAACTGACTTAATTTTACAAAAAAAAAAACCACTTAGGTTAATATGACATAGTCATCCCTAGCTGTCCATGGGCAGTACCCCTGCTGACACCAAAATCTGTGGATGCTCAAGTCCCTTATATAAAACAGTGTAGAATTTGCATATAACCTTCATATACCCACCTGTACTGTAAATCATCTCTGGATTACCTACAATACCTAATAAAATGTAAATGCTGTGTACATAGTTGTTAGTTTGGCAGTTTTGCTTTTTGAAACTTTCTGGGATTCCTCCCCTGCCCCACCAGACGTTTTCTGTGTGCAGTTGGTTGAATTCTCCAATGCAGACCTCGTGGATAACGGAGAATTTTAAAATGTGTTTAGAATGCATGAATCCCTTGATGGGAAAAGCTAAATGTTACATTTTCTTTCATTTACCATGTTTTCCTATTACTGATTGATCTCATGGAGCTAAATTTTACCGAGGACCTACTGTGTACAAGCTTCTAGGCTGAACAGTGCAGGTGACATACTAAACGCTTAGCATGGAAACTGACACAGAGTGAATACTCCGTAATCTTGTGTCCTGCGAGGACTGTATTATCATCATTATAATGACAGTAGTTATCTGCAGGAGTAATCTTTTTTAACCTTTATCTTGATGCATTGAGTAGATATTTTTGTCCTTTTTTGAGTAAGGAAACTGGCAACTTGCCAGTGGTAAGTACTTCAGAGCTGAGGTTCCCTCCAGGTGTGCCTGACTTCTCCATTACACCATCAGGGGTCAGGAGTCAGGTCGCAGGGCTCAGGGACATGATGCCACAGTCCTGGGCATCTATTTGGATTCCGCTCGTGCCATCCTAACTCATCTTTTTGTGTTTAGTCTTTCACATTTCTGTGTCCTGTTCACATTTAGTCTTTTCTATTGTATTTTTCGGTCCTTAAAGAAAAAAATCTCAAGTGACTCTTCTTTGACAACAGGACGGAGTATACATTTGTCAGACATTCTAGGTTCACCCTAATCATGTTTCCTTCTAATATAATATTCTCACTATTTGAGTATGGGGACAGAGGGATTCAGCGGAAAGTGGTGCCACTCACATATCAGATGCTCACATTCTTTGCAAAGCACACAGTGAATAAATGATTTAGCTTTTTCTTTTTAATTCTCTCCTATAGTAGATGTTGGGCATACAGAAGTAAATGAAAACATAGTCTCAGCATTCAGAGTCATCATTTAGGAGAGGAGTATGTGGGGAATAAGTCACAGCCAGTGTGCTGCGGGTCATGATAGAAAAGTATCAAAGGCACAGCAGAGTCACTGAACAGAAGACGAGCAACTGAAGGGAATTTGTGGAGAGAGTGGGAGGAAGAGTCCAAAGGGTTAGCAGGGAAGAAGAGGCTTGAGCCACGTCTTTAAAGGTAAGTCAAGATTTGCCAGCTATCCAAGAAGGATGGAGAACTTTCTCAGCAGAGGCCCAGAGGCAGAGCAGTCTGGCATTACTGGAGGATAAAGAGCAGATAATCACGATGGTGTGATCACTCACCTAGAGCCAGACATCCTGAAATGCAAAGTCAACTGGGCCTTAGGGAGCATCACTACAAACAAAGCTAGTGGAGGTGATAGAATTCCAGTTAAGCTATTCCAAATCCTGAAAGATGATGCTGTGAAAGTGCTGCACTCAATATGTCAGCAAATTTGGAAAACTCAGCAGTGGCCACAGGACTGGAAAAAGTCAGTTTTCATTCCAATCCCTAAGAAAGGCAATGCCAAAGAATGCTCAAACTGCCGCACAATTGCATTCATCTCACACGCTAGTAAAGTAATGCTCAAAATTCTCCAAGCCAGGCTTCAGCAATACGTGAACCATGAACTTTCAGATGTTCAAGCTGGTTTTAGAAAAGGCAGAGGAACCAGAGATCAAATTGCCAACATCTGCTGGATCATTGAAAAAGCAAGAGAGTTCCAGAAAAACATCTATTTCTGCTTTATTGACTATGCCAAAGACTTCCACTGTGTGGATTACAATAAACGGTGGAAAATTCTGAAAGAGATGTGAATACCAGACCACCTGACCTGCCTCTTGAGAAACCTGTATGCAGGTCAGGAAACAACAGTTAGAACTGGACATGGAACAACAGACTGGTTCCCAATAGGAAAAGGAGTATGTCAAGGCTATATACTGTCACCCTGCTTGTTTAACTTCTATGCAGAGTACATCATGTGAAACGCTGGGCTGGAAGAAGCACAAGCTGGAATCAAGATTGCCGGGAGAAATGTCAATAACCTCAGATATGCAGATGACACCACCCTTATGGCAGAAAGTGAAGAACTAAAGAGCCTCTTGATGAAAGTGAGAGGAGAGTGGAAAAGTTGGCTTAAAGCTCAACATTCAGAAAACTAAGATCATGGCATCTGGTCCCATCACTTCATGGCAAATAAATGGGGAAACAGTAGCTGACTTTATTTTGGGGGGGGTTCCAAAATCACTGCAGCCATGTGATGATTGCAGCCATGAAATTAAAAGACTCTTACTCCTTGGAAGAAAAGCTATGACCAACCTAGATAGCATATTAAAAAGCAGAGACATTACTTTGCCAACAAAGGTCTGTCTAGTCAAGGCTATGGTTTTTCCAGTAGTCATGTATAGATGTGAGAGTTGGACTTTAAAGAAAGATGAATGTGGAAGAATTGATGCTTTTGAACTGTGGTGTTGGAGAAGACTCTTGAGAGTCCCTTGGACTGCAAGGAGGCCCAACCAGTCCATTCTAAAGGAGATCAGTCCTGAGTGTTCATTGGAAGGACTGATGTTGAAAGTGAAAGTCCAATACTTCGGCCATCTGATGGGAAGAGCTAACTCATTTGAAAAGACTCTGATGCTGGGAAAGTTTGAGGGCAGGAGGAGAAGGGGACAGCAGAGGATGAAATGGCTAGATGGCATCACTGGGTCAATGGACATGGGTTTGGGTGAACTCCGGGAGTTGGTGATGGACAGGGAGGCCTGGCGTGCTGCGGTTCATGGGGTCGCAAAGAGTCAGACACGACTGAGCGACTGAACTGAACTGAACTGAAAGAGCGGAGAAGAGGGATGAGGATGAGGCTGGAGTCAGCAGTGTCAGAGCATGTAGAACCTGTAGAATCTGGCATGCTGGTGCCTTCACGAGAGTCAAGTTAGTGGAAGCAAACTGTGCTAGTGAACTTGCACTGCCATGCACTTAAAAGAAGTCAGTTTTATTTAAGAATGTCCTTAATGAAGTAGTAAAGATTACTAATTTTATAAAGTCTTGACCCTCAAGTCAGTAGTTTTGTGGTGAAATGGAAAGTAAAGCACTGTCCTAGTTGAATCGTGAGCTAAATTAGTTGTTTTTTTCATGGACCACCAGTTTTACTGAAAAGAGTGACTGCCAGGAACACTGGTTATTGGGTATTTATTTGGTGAATCTTTTCTCAACAATGAACAAAGCAGTCCTGCTGTGTTTGTGTGTATTGTCAAGGAAAACAACTCATTTCATTTGTTGACAATCATTAAGTTTGAGCTTTCAAATGAATATTCTTAGAATACTTGTTTCTGCTACCATGGACTTGACAACTTCCCCCTACTAAAGACTTCTCTAATGAGGCTGAAGGTGGTAATGAAGAATGATTTGTTGATATTGAATGATGAAATATCAGCACTTAGAAGGTCTCTGTAACTCAGTGAACCTATATTTTCCTTCTGACCAACGAATGTTACAAAATCATGATAGGTAAAAGATCCAAAAAGATGAATGGATTTTAAAGTAACAAAGGACTGTGGTTCCAGATTCCAGCATTGCATCATCATCTTTAGTCGTTCAGTTGTGTCTGACTCTTTGTGACCTCATGGACTATGCAGCCCACTAGGCTTCTCTGTCTGTGGTATTTCCCAGGCAAGAACACTGGAGTGAGTTTCCATTTCCTTCTCCAGGGAACATTGCATATAACCTTTAAGAAATTACCACTTGAAGAGGTTCGTTTCAGTGTCAAAGAATATCCTCAGTTATCTGATAGATATTAAAATATTTCTGCCTTTTTCAAGTACATATGTGTGTGAGGCCAGATTTTCTCTTGTACTTCAGCCAAAATAACATTTTTGCAGTAGATCTAACAAAAAGCAGGTATCAGAATCCTTTTGCCTCTTTTTAAATTAGACACTTAAGATTGACAAAAATGTAAAATAATGCCACTCTCCTCACTTAAATGTTTTTATAAAATTGTTTTAAAAAATTACTATTTTAAGAGAATTAATAAATATTTATAAAATTTCTCAGCTTTAATTTCTAATACTGTAAATATCTGATATAATCTACATTAAAAAAAGTTCTTTGGAATTCACAGTCATTTTTGTAAGTATAAGCGGTGTCAAGACCAAATGATTTGAGAACTGCTGGTCTGGGAGAAGATAATAGTGCCTGAAGGCACCCAGATTCCACTTGTGCTCAGGTTCTGCTTTCTGTAGGCAACTCTGTTTTACCTGGATATCTTATTGCCTCTGAATTACTATTGTGAACATGGTATTTTCACTCACTGTGAAACATGACTGTATATTCATATGTTACTCCATGACATCTATTAAATGATTGAGATATATGTATATATTTTATATTATTTCTTCAACAACATTATAAGTCTAGAGCACAGGAATACTTTTTTTCCTCCCACAGGAATTCTTATATTTCCTGTGTGTTGGGTTTTTATTTTTATTCTCAGAATCTACTGTTATGCTGTGCTGTTTATGCATGTGGCAGTTGTGCATTAGAACGGATTTTTATTGAATAAAACCAGTCCTGATCTTCCTTCTTAGACATCCTATCGTGTCAGAAGAAAGGACCCTCAGCTCCCAGTCTAACTTAGCGATTTCGTTTCGTAGATGAGGCAGCAGAGGTGTAGAGGTGACGGGCCTTGTCTGAGGTCCTGTCGCTTTAGTCAAGTGGAAATTGATCCTGGAGACTCCCACTCTTCAGTCCTTCCCAATATGCTGTCTTTCTCTTTATTAACAAATTTATTAAAGGTAAGCTAGTAATGAATTAAGACAAAACAGCCTGATCTGGGTCTTAATTTGTTATCATCACAAATCCTATAACTTACATATTTTCAATTTTTTTTTTCAAATGAAAGAGTCACATGTGTATGTGGAAATCAGCTTATGCCTGTGAAGTTGAAGTTTAGTATCTAAATAGTTAACAGTTTTGCTTCAGGATTGTTTTTGTGAGTTTGGAGGAAAAGTTGAGTCATCTCAAAGGAGAATGCAGTAGTTTCAGTCACAGCTCAGTATTTCTGTTGGTTTTCTTAGTGATGATGAGTGACTGGCCCCAACCACTTGCCATTTTCTGGCAGTCATGAGTTGGAGGTCCAGTTTTGATCAACTTCTTCATCAGTGTGTTTAAAATCCCACTTTCCAGGGTCCCAAGGCCAAGCCTGTGGTGTCCTTCATTGCTGGTTTAACTGCTCCTCCCGGCAGAAGAATGGGTCACGCAGGGGCAATCATTGCTGGAGGAAAAGGTGGAGCTAAAGAGAAGATCGCAGCCCTTCAGAGTGCTGGGGTTGTGGTCAGCATGTCCCCGGCACAGCTGGGAACCACCATCTACAAGGTGAGCTGGAGCAGTGGCCTGAATGCTCGGAGGTCATGGGCCTTAAAGTGGGAGGCCACACGGGTGGCCTGGGAACTGTGGTCTTTTCTTCTGAGTCTCTTCTGTTTCTTTCATTCTGGTCTTCAGCTTAACGGTCTGTAGCAACCCCACCAAGATCCTAATATCCTAACTGGGCATGACCAGGAATAATGTTCTGATTAAAAAACTTGATTCATTAAACATTTCACTTTGCTGTTTTGTGAGTAGTGAGATAGGATTTACAAGAAAGGGTTTCAGAGTCCGTTAAGTGCTGTGAATTCCATTTTAGGAGTGGTGCAGAAAATTGCCTTTTTTTTTTTTTTTTTTTCCCATGGAGAGCCTTTGGGAGTATAGTTGTGCTGACTCCATAGGTATTTTTCCAGGGAGAGAGGTTGAAAACTAAGAAGAAATAAAAACGGAGTTGGGATGGATGGAGACTAAAGACAAGGATGGGGATTTTTAGTTGGTGTCTTCCATAATCTCTTTGCAGTGATTTTTGGCAGTCTGTCTCTTTGATTGATCATTTGACTCTCTTTACTTTTATGATGATCATAGACATTGCCCCCCCCCCAAAAAAAAGCAAAAAAACCCCAAAATTTTGTATACATGCTGAAAACAGGCCCAGATAGTCTTCCCAGGTGGGAACATGTTTTGGCATACTCTTCTTTGGCACTATCCTAGAGATAATAAAACAAACTCCTTGGTTTATTGAATATTTTCATGATCCTGTTGTATGGAGTATGCTACTGTGTGCCATAGTGTTTAAAAGAAATCTGGGTAGTTAGTGAGTGTTATGAGGAAGAATCTTCTTTATTTGAGAGAAGAGGGAAGAAGGGAAAAAGCAAATTCTTAAATTCTTATTGAAGGCATGTATTACCATTTTACTCCAGTAGGTGGCAGCAGGCACCTACGCATCCTGTTGTATTCTAATTATCACAATGTAGAGAAATTATTACAATGTAGAGAAACTGATTTTCAGTATTTTTGCCTTTTCATATATTTCTGAGGTTCTTGACGTTTTGTTTAAATCTGAACTGAATCTGTGTTTTATTCTCTGAGAAACTAAACTAAACAAACTTGTTTCCATTGCCTTATTAAAAGGGCTGTTGTGGCTCACAGATAAGCATTACATGTTTGGATAAGCATAATCAGCTTATCCAACTATAGCTGTCAGCTCCTAACTATAATACTGCAGTAGAAAATAAGCATAATTCGAAACCTCTCAGCCTCTGCATTTAGGAGACATAAAGTCTTAAGTTCTGAATCTAGCTTAGTGAAATCAGACTGACACGGACTCATTTGAAAGCTGTCATTTTGTGTTCAAGCACCTCATCCTGGTACATTTTACCTGTATAATTTTTGGTTGCTCAAGAGATCCTAAAGACAGGAGGTTTCAGAATCACTTTAACCATGAATGTAATTTGAGGCTTTAATCTTTTTATCCCCTCTCCCTTCTCCTGTTCCTCTGTTCCTGAAGGAGTTTGAAAAGAGGAAGATGCTCTGAAAGAAAGACGGAAAATTCCTTAAGCCTATGGATGAATCATTGTAGCAATGGGAGCGGTGGCTGTTTGCTTCTGATGTCCACTGACCGTCTGCCCGTCCACCTGTCGCTGGTCTTTTCAGCACAACAGGAAGCCAAAACAAGGTTTAGAATGTCCCACACTGAGGTGTTTTCACCTCACTAAATAAGAGAAGCAGCCAATAAATCTACCACTTGATTTGAATACGGTTTTAGAGACTTTTTATTGTTCCACCGTGGGCATGGGGAGAGGGGGAGAGTTGGAGGAGGCTGTGTGTGCACATGTATGCCTGTGTGCCTGTGTGTGTCTTTCATTGGGTTCTGTAGAGGACTTTCTAACTAAAACTTTTGAGAGAATGAGTATAAACATTTCAGTTTGGCATTTATCATAGATACAGAGTGACTAAGTTTCTCTGAATTACAATTTTCTCATATCTACATATATAATAGTCTTCATCTTACAGGATAGTTTTGAGGATTGGAGATAAATATATGAAATCCTTGGCACGTGATAAGGCAACCTAATTTTTGCCAATGCCACCATCTTTATCACTGGGATTATAGGCAGGAGCTCATCCAAGTTTCAGTTTTTGCCTAACTGGGAAGTGGAGAGTCTTCAATAATGCTTTGTTTTTCTGTGGTTCTGCAGAGGGCTGTTTCCTTCCCCACCCAGAGCCTACATTTCTTTGCTTGAGGTTTCAGACATTTCACTTTGAGAGAGCAGTTAGCCATCCTCTTGTTTGAAAGGGAGCTTGTTAACAAACAATTCCAGTGGAGAAGCAAGAAAATATTCTCACATTGTGTAGCTGCTGCCCTGAAGGAAACAAGAGCTTCTGGAAATAATAATAGAAGAAGACCTTCAAAAAAGCTGTTTGGGGAGGCCTTTCCAAGGAGGAGTGATGAGTAGGTACTTAAGGGCCGGGAAGGTACCAGCCATGCAAAAAGGAGGACACATACTCGGCAAAGGCAGGGGGCAGGAAAGAGCTTGTTTTGGGGAGGGGCCTGGGGAAGTGATCCCGAGAGGGGCTGGAGGATGTTTGGAAGACTGGGAAAATAGGTGTCCCATGACTTTGCATAGGCTGCTGAGGGTGCAAAGAGCAGGTGTTGGGAGATAGATCCAGCCCAAGTATTCTGCCTGGGCCAAGGACCATGTCTAGATGGGCTTTGGGTCAAGTAGACTTTAGCTCCTGTTCAGTTGTTTCCTCATCTTGAAAGGGGAGCTCATGACCCCCATCCCACAGGCTACCTGGGTAGAATTTACATTATGCATATGTGAAGGTGGGCTCTACCAGGGCTTGATGTCGCTTCATAAAACTTTTGTGGGGGGTTTATTTTATTTTTTCTTATTTTTTTATTCCATAAATTCTTGAACTTGCCTCCTGCTTGTGCTCAGGGCAGCCCCCAGCTGACATGGTGGCCAGGGAGGAAGTCCCTTCCAGTCTCTCTGATTGGCATCTCCAAGGTCCCTCCAGGGCAGACAAGTCCTCCTTTTGTCTGAGGCTTTGTGACAAGTACACAATCCAGGTGAGAGGCCAGCGACCTCAACATCCTTTTGAGGGTCCCAGATTCCAGGCTCAGCCCCCTGTTCTGTCCCGCAAACACCCATCCCAAGATGACCCCTCTCTCCTCACACCTCTGGTCCTATCCCTGGAAGTTCAGTGCCCTCTTGACCCCTTCTCTCTCCCACCTGCCATCTTCCCTTTCCACTTGCCTTCGTCTTTGCTTTCCATCTCCCCTCTCCAACCCCCGCAGCATCTTGAGAAGTCATCCACCCCTCATCTCTCACTTCTCTCCCCTCCTACAACTACTGCTCTGAGCAACTCAAACATACCTGAGCAGGATATTTGGTTCTGGTGTTTCTGATTTCATATTTACAAGCAAAAGGTAAAAGTTTTAACTCATGACCCCAGTGCATTTTAAAAACTTTTATTACAGAAACTTTCAAACATTTACAAATGATTGTGGTAATATAATGAACTCCTGTGTACCCATCACCCCGCTATGACAATGACCAACATTTTGCTATTACGGTATGATGTCTACCTCCAACCCATTCCTGCCAGTGTTTCTATTGTGATAGGTGTTTTGTCAGGGTAAAATTTATATTTGCTGAAATGCATAACTCTTAGCTGTGCATATTTAACAAATGGACAAAAGTATGTAACCACCCCCTAATGAGGATATACAACATTTCCTTCGTAAGAGAAAGTTCCATCCTGTTCTCCCAATAGATAATCTGTATTTTTCTTCATCTTCAAATTAGTTTTTGTCTGCTGTAGAAATGTATATGAAAGGATGGCTATAGTATGTATTTTTTTTTTTTTAGTGGAGAATAATTGCTTTACAATGTTGTGTTGATTTCTGCTGTACAACAGGAATCAGCTCTAAGTATACATGTATCCTCTTCATCTTGGGCCTCCCTCCCCATCTGTCCACTCTAGGTTGTCACAGAGTGCCAGTCTGAGCTCCCTGTGTTATATAGCAACTTCCCACTCGCTATCTATTTTCCATATGGTAATGTATGTTTTTCAATGATACTTTCTCAGTTCATCCCACCCTCTCCTCTCCCAGCTGTGTCTCTATTCCTACCCTGCAAATAAGTTCATCAAGACACATGTACCCCAGTGTTCATTGCAACACTTTACAGTAGCTAGGACAGGGAAGCAACCTAGGTGTCCGTTGGCAGATGAATGGATAAGGAAGTTGTGGAACATACATATAATGGAATATTACTGCACCGTGTGCTACATGCTCAGTTGCTCAGTCACGTCTGATACCTTATATGACCCCATGGACTAGAGCCTGGCAGACTCCTGACCGTGGGATTCTCCAGGCAAGAGTACTAGGGTGGGTTGCCATTTCATTCTTCAGGGGATCTTCGCAACCCAGGAATCAAACCTGTGTCTCCTCCATCTCCTGCATTGGCAGGCAGATTCTTTTCCCACTGAGCCACCTGGGAAGCCCCTACAGTGGAATATTACCCATCCATAAAAGGGAATGAATTTGAATTAGTTGAATTGAGGTGGATAAAACCTAAAGCTAGTTGATACAGAGTGAGGTAAGAAAGAAAAGTAAATATGTTAACATATATGTATGGAATCTAGAAGAAAAAAGATAGTCTTTTATGTTTGGTTTCTTTCACTCAGCATGATTTCTGTGATGGTCTTCTAAGCCAATGCTTGTATCAGAACTTATTCCTTTTTATTGTTCCATTGTATGGATATTCCACCCATTCTCTGGTTGCTGGCCCTCGAGTCGTTTCTAGCTTTCGGCCGTGGTAGATTAAGCTGCTGTGATCCTTTATGTGCAAGTCTTTTTCTGAACATAGACTGTTTTTTCTTGGAGAGATACTGGGAATGGAATTGCTAGAAGACATGTTCTCCCCAGCAAAAGAAGTCTGGTTTTGTATGTCTTCTTCAACATTTGGTATTTTTGATCTTTAAAATTTTTGCCATTTCTAATAAGAGGTGTGAGGGGTATCTCATTGTGTTTTAATTAGCATTTCCCTGGAGAGTAATGATGTTGAACATATTTTAATAAGTTTATGTTTTTGGTATTTCTTTCTTTATGAAGTATCTTTTCAAGTCTTTTGTTTATTTTCTATTTCATTGGATTTTTATTTCTGAGTTCTGATAATTCTTTATATATCCTAGATAAAAGACCTTTCTCAGATATATACCAATAGCTTATGAATATTTTCTGATACTCTTTGACTTGCTCACTCATTTTGTTGCTGGTATCTTGATGAATGAAAGTTTTTAATAAAGAGCAACATGTCTTTTTTTCCCTTTTAATTCACTGCTTTCTTATCCTAAGACATGTTTGACTACTTCAAATTTTGTAGCATCATAAAAATTTTAGAATAAATTTGTTCATTTCTATAGGATGATGGTTGGGATTGAGTTAAGTAAGTTTTATAAACTGTTTTGGAAAGAGTTGCCAATTAACCTTATTGACTCTTTCATATTCCAGTTTTCTTTCTTGCAAAAATATACAAACATAAATTGATTTTTGTACATTGACCTTCTACCCTAAAATGAATTTATTAGACCTAGCAGTTAAAAAAAAATTTCTTTTGGTTTTTTTTAATGTAAAAATTCATGTTAACTCTGAGTAGAGTTTTGCTCCTGTTCCAGTTGTCATGCCTAGTTTCTCTTTTTCTTAATGTACTTACTCAACTACAGTGTTGAATCAGTGTGAGAATGGATGCCTTTGTCTAGTTTTCAATCTTGAGGTTGTTTTTCCATATTTCACCATTAAAGTGATGCTAGCTTGAGGATGTTCATAAATGTCCTTCCTTTATCCCATGGGGAAAATTTCCCTCTATTCTAAGTTAGCTGAATGTTTTTGTTGTTGTTGTTTGTTTTTTAATTGTGAATGGGTGATGAAAGTTTATCCAGTGATTTTTCTGAATCTATTGAAATGACTATTTCCCACCTCCTTTATTTGATCATTTTAAATGTTTCTTTCTGGGGAATTCCTGGCAGTTTAGTGGTTAAGACTCCATGCTCTCAAAGCTGAGGTCCCAGTTTCAATCCCTGGTCAGGAAACTAAAGTCCTACAACCTGTATGGCATGGCTAAAAAAATGTTTGATTTTTAGACCTTAACTTGTATTCCTGTTCACAGAGGCCACTTGATTATGAACCTCCCCTTGTCACATGTTTCTGAAATACTTTGCTGATATTTTGTTAAGGATGGTTGTCAAAACTTTGTTTCCTTGTAATATCTTTGCCAGGCTTGGTATCAGGATAATATTGACTTTATACAGTAATGGGGAAATTTTCCTTTTTTTCCTCTATTTTCTGAAAGAGTTAGTTTAAGATTGGTACTGTGTCTTCCTTAAATTTAATAAGATTCTCCTTGAATTCTTCATACCCTCTTCAGGAGGCTGGGTGTGTGGTAGGCTCTTGCTGAGAGAAACAGCAGGGTGCTGTCAACCCAGGAGTAAGAATCAGTCACACCTTTTCTGGAGTCCTGCCAAAGCCTCAGAGAAATCCTCACCAGGAATCTTGTCTCTTCAGTTCCCACTCCAACCCTCCCCCCTCAGCAGAGATGCGGCTTCTCCTGACCACCCAACACTCCTGCTGTAATTCTTCTTCTTCTTTTTTTTAATTGGGAGATTCCATTCATATGAAATGTCCAGAAATGGCAAATTTATAGAAACAGAAAGTAGATTAGTGGTTGCCTGAATCTAGGGCTGATAA